TGCCCGCCCCCACTCAGCCAAGTCGTGAACTCTGAACACACCATAGGGTCAAGTTTAGAAATGGCCTGTGATCCCAGAGGGGTGAAAGATCAGCACAGAGCAGGATTGTTCAAAGAAGCTCTGCCCTTCTCAGCAAGGCTCTCATTAGAGTCCTTCCCTGTCCTTGGGATCTGTCTTAGACTCACTGTTGACTCTGAAACTCATTGCGATAAGCCTACGGTTGTCTCCCTTATAAGTGAAGCCCATAAGCGGTGACCAGAAACCCTGGTTGCTCTGGGCTCACCTCCCCTGAGGCTTTACTCTGTGCTCCTCCTCCATAGATAGTGAGCAATGCCTTTGGCTACAATGAGGACACTCACTTAGGGAGAGGGCAGTGGGGTCTTCAGTTCAGTCCTCCCCTTGAGCAAGAGGGACCAGAGGATTCGTGGAGCATACAAGTGTCTGGCTAGTCAGATCTCAGGGTCAGGGACTCCACTGAGATGCAAAACAAAAGTTCTGCTAGCTCCCCTGCCAGGGCCTGTGGAACAGGCAGCTGGAGATCCTCACTGAAGGATCTGGCCTCTTGGTCACTAGAACTCCAGGACTTACTGCTTGGACTGAGAATGCCGCAGCCCCTGTGTCTTGCTGCTTTAATGCTGTGTACTGTGGCTTGCACTGCTGTTGGGGGACAGGGCGGGGCAATGGGGGAGGGGCCTGACATGCTGCTTGCTTTACCCAATGCTATGCTTGCTAGACTTTGTCTGACTGACTCTGGGCAACCAAATGTATGCACAGTCATGGCTTGGAAGTGTCCGTAGATGGGATTGCAATAAAGGTGTGTCTTCTGCTTGGGAGCATCTTTTGATTTCATTTCAAGGGCAAAGGGTGGACCCTATATTCACCAGGACAGTTTCAAAATCTAAATGTGGGGAGGATATAGCAATGGGGACAATGAATGAACTCTACCCCAAGGCCCCAAGCTTGGTTCCAAGGAGCTACATGTTACTTCCCTGACTGCCACCTGAGTGTGAGAGAAGTTCCAGCTTGGGCCCCAGCACAGCGGTCAGAGAGCAACACACACTCTGGTTAACTTTCAGTCTACAGAGAGCCAGCTGGTGTCCAAGGGTGATGCAGATGCCAAAGACGAATCAGAGGAGACGGTGCCCAACCCCTTCAGCCAACTCACCGACCAGGAGCTGGAGGAATACAAGAAGGAGGTGGAAAGGAAGAAACGAGAGCAGGAACAGGAAGGTAAACCCGTGTGTCCCATAGCTGCAGGACCTGCCAGCCTAGAGGGAGAGCTCAGAATCCTCACTGGGGTCTGCCGTCCCTGTGAGGACCTTCTTGCCCCATCACCAAATAGCACTATTAGCAAAACATAGCTAAACGTGACCCACCGCCTCACAGCTCCACGTGCAGACACCTTCGTGATGTCACTGACCCTGTTCCACTGGATATGAAGGAGTTAGTGCCTGTAAAGTACTTAGAATTGTGCCTTTGATTGTGACAAAGGTCAGTAGACAATAGGTTAGTGTGAACGGTAATGAGACAGGTGTGACAGTCACATAAAGTCTGGAGTGAGTCTGTCAGCCTGGTAGCCAGGATTCTATGAGCCGATGCCACTCTCCTTGCTTCAGAGTCTGGAGTCTAGCCAGTCCCTCTGCGTTGAAGCTCCTGGTGTCTTGGCTTGCTGGGTCATGCTTTTGTTTTCTTCTGGGCTAGCATGAACCAAGACATCTACACCACAGGCTCTACCTCAAATCCCTCTTTGGCTAGAAAGTCATCCTCTCACCCTCCTACCCCCCAAACGAGGTGTCTCCCCTCCTTGCTTCCAGAGCAGCTGGGGCCTGAAACCCACTTAGACCCAGGTAGAATTTACCCCGAGTGGGGCCCTCCACCACTGCTTCTTCTCATCCAAGGTTAGACATCTTTTCAACTAATGCTTCCTGCCTTGCTTAGAGTTCAAATGTGCCTGCTAGAAAAAAATAGAGAAATGTGCTAGGGATAATTTGGAAGGAAGGTGTGAATTAGCTGAGTTAGCCAGCAAGCTAGCAACTGTGAACAAGCTTGGGTGTTCCTAAAGAGAACCAGCAGCTGGTGGGGAGCCTGCTTCCTCCTGGGGATGTGTCCATGGCTGGTCCTTTTCAGCAATACCTGCAGAGTCAAGTGCTGGTCTGGCACATGGAAGTCTCCTGCCACCTTACTTCCTCATAGGGGCAGCCTCTGGGTAGACAAAGTGATGTGCAACTCTGGCTGCCCCCTTTTAGCCTCCCTAGGAAGAAGCAGGGATAAATCTGAGCTAAGGAGAGCCCGATAACTCTCCAGCCAGAAGTGACTAGGTAGAAAAGCACTGGATTTCACGCTCACCCTGGCCCTCTTGTCTCTCTGTGACTTCTGTGCGAAGGTGGGTTTCTGTTATTTTCAGGGGAGAAGGACACAGCCACAGAAGAGCCTGGCTCACCTGTAAAGTCCACACCTGTGTCTCCAGTGCAGAGCCCGACGAAAGCAGGGACCAAGAGCCCAGCCGTTTCTCCTTCCAAGGCTTCAGAGGGTGAGTGCGGCTGAGCAGGCTTCAAAGGGCACCTGTGTGGGAGAGAAGGTGGTCTGTACACTGTAGAGAACTGTTGGTAGTTGGTAAGGGTTTGTCGGGAGAGGGTGGCCTCACTCCCATGGGACATGCTTCCTCTCGGACAGTTCTAGACATTCTGGGCAAGATTCAGTTTGTCTTACTAGTGAACTATGCTGATGCAGCCAAAGCCCTTCCAAGCAGAGATAAAGGGCTGACACACAGCCTCCCATCCCCAGCTGGCCGGTTGTGTCATCTGGTCCTCCGGTGCTGGTGTGGGGAAGGATCTCTCTGAAATGAAGGCTCTGCTCAGCCAGGTCTGAGATGGGGCCTGCATTTCTCGGGGTCATGACCTGATGGTATCACTCTGAGTCTTGACTGAGCAGTGGGACCCTCTGGTTCTGTGGCCTGGAGCTCACCCTCAGCACTTCTCCAGGCACTCTAAAATGTGAACCAACTAAAAACCATGTCATTAGAGAGACATGAGTTTAGGCAATAAAATTCCAGGACCAAAAAACCTGTTAATTTTTGTAGTAGAGACCTACTCCATGCCTCAGTCAAATGTTCCATTGTTACAGTTCTTCCGTGTCCAAAGACAGTGTTGATGACAGCATACTTTGAAGGAGTAAGGGAATAATTTGAACATAGGACCAACTATGATTAAGGTGTACATGGTAACAGTGCTGTTGTGGTCCCTTGCCACTTCCATGATGCTCCACTAGGTCCCCAGAGAGGCCACCCAGAGAACAGCCAGTGTTGGGCTGCTGGGATCCCCTTCCTAGGTGACAGGTCACATGTATGATTCTGGTAGCACCTCCACCCTGAGCTTCCTCTCCAATCCAACCACTGCCTTGCATACAGGCCCAGCCTTGCTGGAGAAAACCCATCTGCTTGAGGCCAGAGCCCCAAGTGGATGTCCCTCCTGCCTCTCCACTGGCTGCATGTGTTCACTGTGTCTCATCTTGGTGTATTGTCAACTTGTCCACAATGTCTTCCTTTCTCTTCCCATTTGTGCCTTCATCAAAGGACTTTCCTCCGAGTCTGAATACTTGTCTCTGTAGTAAGTATAGAGAGGCCACTTCCTAACTCACCTGGCACTCGCAACAGGGAGGGAGGAGCTTTTCAAAAGAAATCCCTTCCAAGGTTTTCTTCTTGCATCTCATGGTCCTGCCTTTGCAAAGTTTCTTAGGTGTAAAATTCACAACCAATTCCACCTGTGCTGTGCAGGACTAGGCTTCCTGTAAGGGACATGGACACATGCATACAGAGAAAGATAGGCAGACAGAATGAAAGAAAGGAAGAGAGAGAGAGAGAGAGAGAGAGAGAGAGAGAGAGAGAGAGAGAGAACCGAGTCGTGGTGGCACATGCCTTTAATCCCAGCACTCAGGAGGCAGAGGCAGGCGGATCTCTGTGAGTTCGAGACCAGCCTGGTCTACAAGAGCTAGTTCTAGGATAGGCTTGAAAGCTACACAGAGAAACCCTGTCTCAAAGAAAAAAACAAAAACAGAGAGAGAGAGAGGGAGGGAGGGAGAGAGAACAAGTCCCATGGGGAGGGATAGGGACTGCACGAGAGCATCATGGTTAACAGGAATTACTCATTGGCCCCACTTTGGCTCTAAAGAGCTTCTTCTAGAATTTTGAGCAGAGCCTGGATTCTCTCAGGGCCTCAGCTGCTACCCAGATATGTGCAGAGGACCTGGCCTTTGACAGTCCATTAGCACACTTGTGCAGGCTGCAGGAAGGAAATGCAGGGAGAGCCTGAGAGGGCCCATGGCAGGAGGTGACAAATCCAGAGATTCTTGTCAGCTCCTGAGAGGAATAGAAAACAGGAAGAGCACAGATGGATGGAACAGCCATCCACCTACCACTGGGTATCACACTCACTGTGACAAGAGTTCTGGTTCTCTCTGGACCAAATCTATCCCCTTCATGGGGCCACTTGTAAAATAACAAAAGTCACAGTTTTCTCTAAAGATGTTTTATGTGTCACAGGCAGCTAGAGAACATGGCTACCTTGACACAAAGTGATGTAAGTGCAAGCTGCAGTGTGGTGGGGCTGGGTGGCCTGGACCAGCTCCTTGGAGCAGGCAGAATGGACTGGGGCACAGTAACTATGTTCCCTTTAGATGAAGGGTGAGTGTTTCCAGCCATCTGTCACTCTGCTCCCCTCCTCTCCTGCTGAGTCTCCATGTCAGTCTTCATCTATGTTCTGGAATCTGAATCCAGCACCATCAGCCTCTCTAAGGTGTCTCCTCCTCCACTTCTGCTCACCATGATACTTCCTTCTCCTTGCCCAGACCCTGAGCAATGTGATCCGGACTGACTGCAGCCCCCAGGGGATACTCAGGGCTATAGACTGAGCTAGAAGAAATAGCTCCTGTTTCATGTCAGATGTTCACAGATTACTCCATTATTTCAAATAAGCCACTCAAAACACTTCAGAGGGCTGGGGAAATGGCACAATGGATCTAAGTGCTTGCTGCAGCATAAACATGTAAAATCCAACCAGGCATGGCAGTCCCTGTAATCCCAGAACTAAAGAGACAAAGGCCAAAGAACCCCAAGGACAAACTAGCTAGCTACTCTAGCCGATCAGTGAGCTCTGGGTTCAAATGAGAGATCCTGACTCAATAACTAAAATGGAGATGCATCAAGGAAGACAGCTGACATCAGCTGTGGGCCTCCGAGAGCGAGAGTGAGTGTGTGTCAGGAGACAATGAGCAACTTTGCAGTGTGCTCACATGAATCCATTCTTATTAAGGACTGTGCTCCTTCAATTGTGAGAACTTACTAGTCCTTGATGCTGTTGGCCTCCAAAACTTGGGCAGGTTAGCTCTGTAGCATCAGATCCACTGTCCAGTCATGGTCCACAGAGAGCTGTGCATTGGCTAGAGTTGACTGGGTTTAGCTCAATGGATGTCACATGTCTCCCTATGTGAGATCAGCCAAGACCACACACAATCAGCTATCAGCATGACTAGGCCAGGACTTCTAAGATAGTGTACACACATGGCTGGTGCCTTGGTGGGGACAGGAAGAATCAGGGCTCAATGGGGATGCTGGAGTAGCATTCTCATTCTCACTCTTCCAAACTCCACATTTTCATTGGTGTCATTGGACTTTATTCATGGTGGCCTATGTCTCCCAAAGCTGTTAGGCGGAAGTTTCTAGACCTTCTTGGGTGTTTAGCCTAAGCCCGGTTTTGCAACACTTCCCTGCACTCTGGTTGCTACCAGAAGCCATGGAGCCAACAGGAGCTACATGAGCCTGTCATTACCAAGAGGCTCTGCACAGTAGGGCCTGAGCTATCCCACATGCCAACAGTATATCCAGTACTCGAGGAACTTTGAGTCTCAGGCACGGTGAGCCACCAAAAGGAATATATTCTGAACCCAAATGTCCCACTTTTTATATCAAAATGGCCTGATGACTTGGTAGAAACAGAAATTTAGAGAGGTAGAAATGTGATGTGGTTCAAGGGTAGAGCACCTGCCTAACATGTCTGAGGCGCGCACGCGCTCCCGCACGCACGCACGCGCGCGCGCGCACACACACACACACACACACACACACACACACTTACTTCACGACCCACCATATGTTTCAGGTCCTAACATGGACAAAGACCTCATTTACACAAGTTGAATCTGGACCATTCTTTCAGACACTCATGTTCTGGAATTTAAATGAGGACAGAGCTCTGCTGGCCAGTCTCCTGCTCACAGAGCCTCACCAAGCAGTTCTGCTTGCCAGCCCTCTGCTCCCTGCTCTGCGCTTTGAGTGCCTCGTGGACCAGCATGATAACCTGGTGCTGTGTCAGCACTGATCACGAATGATACTTCCCCAAACTTTAATGAGCCTTTCTTGGGCTTCTGCATGCCATGGTGAGGAGCATTATTTTCATTAGGGAAATAGAAACCTTGCATGGCAGTCACCAGTCCTGCATGCAGTGGATACAGGTCCGTATTAATCCGGTTTACCTTGAGTTCAGAAGCACCTCCCCAAACCCACTTCCAGGCCATCCCCTTATCTCCCTTGCTGTTGCTGTCTAAGTGGCAGGCCAGGCCAGCAGTCATGTGTCTGACCCAGGGTGGAAAGATGAGCATGTTCCTGAAGAGGCCAGGTGCCCTCTATGGAACCTGCATCTGGCCTCACACAGAGAAAGGTTCAACCATGTTGTTGCTGACCAGAAGATGGCTACCCAGAAGTAAGAGAGAGTTTGTGTTCTGATGGCACATGGCACTGTAAAATGAGCATACGACATTGGGGTTAGAGGAAGACCAAGCATAAAAAACAAATCTATTGTATAAGGTTAAGTATTTGGGCATAGAGAGAGGAGAGGGGCCTTCACCAGATAGGGAAGGGTCATGGGATTGACGGTGATAAGACCAAGTCAAAGGTGGAGGCGAAACAAGAGAACAAAGAGAGAGGACCATGTTCCAACAGATGTATGCCAATGAGGCACACTGCCAGGTGACAGCCATGGCCGTGAGGGGACCAGAGCTGTAGATGCTGAGTCAGGGCTGCAGATGCTGAGTCAGAGCTGTAGATGCTGAGTCAGGGCTGTAGTCCAGGCTCCAGTCAGAAAAGCAAAATGAATAGGAGGCAGCCGCCAGTCTCTGATATTAAAAGGGAACCCATGCTCAGGTGGGTCTGGAAAGAACTTCAGCATGTCAGATTGAGAAGGAACAAAAGTCCTCACTGTAACATCTTGTCGGGTTGTTGAGCCGGCCTGTTCTGACTGCCCCAAGCTCACCCAGTCCACACAGATTGCAGTCTCGTATTGCTCTGCAGTGTGGACACGGGTTTTTTTCTTACCCACTTCTGCAGCATGGCTTCACCTTCCCCTGTTGCTTCCATTCCCATATAGTAGACCATGTGCCAGTCCTTCTGATGGCAATGCTCACACTCAAAGGTACCCACGATCCCATCATACACATGCATACATACACACACATATGCTCACAACACACACATGCATACATACACAGTCTGCACCACACTTAAATGCTCACCTCTCACACACCACACAGCTGTGCTCAGCAGACACAATACACTTGTACACACACCAGCAGACCTCTCAGCCCATAGATGGGAAGCCTGTGGAAGGAGAAGCTAGGACCCGAGCCTGCCCTGTGTAGCTCTCCTGTTCTGAGCTGTGAAATGGAAAGGATCCCTCGGGCAGCATTCCAGTCACTTTCTACATTCCAGTGTCTGTGGCATTATAGGTCCCCTCCCTCCTCTTTACACAGGAGTTTCAAAGCTGGCATAGTTGGGGAGAAGGGACAGCAGAGGACTTTAGTGCCTGGGTCTAAGCATTCTGCCCTTGAGTGTGGAACCTGGTGAACCTGGCAGCCACTAGAATGAAAGGACCCCCTTGAGCTGTCAATTCTATTATAGAAATGCTGGGTCCTTCCTGATTCTCCTCTCTGCCCCCTGGGAAGACACCGGTTCCCTAAGTTCCCTGCCACTGTGTAGGTATGAAGACCTGTGGTCATCATGTTTTGATTGGTGCAACTGGGCTGTTTATCACAATGCTTCCACTGAGATGATCAGGACATGCAGCCCACAGCTTCTCTCCTCCCTCCGGCGTGCCTCTCCATTCTCATTCAGTGCATGAATTCAGTGCTTGTTCAGAAACCAACACATGTTTCAATATGTAGACAAGAACCCAGAGTATCACCTGCCTAGGGTGTGTTCCCCAAGGCAGGTGGTGTGAGGTGAGAACTCCTTCCCTCCTCTATTCCAGGATCCTTGCTCCCACACCATGCCAGCCTGCCCACCACCCCCAGCTCCAGACCTCCCCTAGAAGTGGTTCTGTTGACCCCTTGAACACTCCTTCCTGAAACCAGCTGGGTCTTCTGGTTTTTTCCTAGATGCCAAGAAGACAGAAGACAGTGAAGCCACCACAGAGCCTGAGCCAGCGAAACCGGAAGGGGTGGTGATGAATGGGAAAGAGGAGGAGCCAAGTGCAGAAGAGGCCCTCAGCAAAGGACTGGGCCAGATGACCACCAATGCTGACACTGATGGTGACAGCTACAAGGACAAAACCGAGTCAGTTACCAGTGGCCCCTTGTCCCCAGAGGGCTCGCCCTCCAAGTCACCCTCCAAAAAGAAAAAGAAATTCCGAACCCCCTCCTTCCTGAAGAAGAGCAAGAAGAAGGAGAAGGTGGAATCCTGATTGGTGGCTCCTGCTACATCCCTGCCCTCCTTCCCTGCCCTTCTCCCAACTCTGCCCCTGGAGCACAGGGCCAATGAGGGATCGAGAAGGACCTCGGATCACACTCAGAGGGGGGCTTAGAGCCAGCCTTCCCAGAGCAACCAGGTGTCTTGCCCACAGTCACAGTTAGTTGGTGGCAGGGCCTGCCCTAGATTTGAGCTTCCTGACTCCTATGGTCATGCTCTGTTCTCTGTTCAACACTGCCTAGTCCTGGGCTGCTCTGTTAGCACACTACCTGCCAGCCTGAGCCCAGGGCAGGAAGGCCAAGTGCCAGGCATGGTCACAAATGCTCACAGGCCAAGACTTCCTCTGAGTAAGGTCCATCTCTTCCCAGGAATCCTGCCTCTTGCTAATGGAGCTGTCTCCACAGCAAGAAGCCATGCTTCTCTCTTCCATTTTGGGTCCCTTCTCCTCCTGTTTAAAGTAACCAGGCAAACTGACATGCTCCCCTCCCCCCAATAGAAGTTAATCTTTGATCCCCAGGCTGATGGCTTAGCTTGTACTTTCTCAAACACTAATCCTGAGCTTTTGACATGGAACCCATTGAGTGATGGATGGAAGAACCCTAAGAACCGACAGATAGAGGGCAAGCCAAGTCAGCTTAATGAGTGGGCAGGGACCATAAGTCTAAGAGCCTAGGATCCTGGCCTGTCTGTAGTGTGCATCACACAAGCTGCAAAGTTAAACCCGACTGTAGCAAAAGAAAAGGTCTCCTGCTCAGGGTGGAAATTTGAGGGATCTAAATCTGGGCTGGAGCTGAGTTATGGGAGGAGGACCAAATGCCACTTTGACTTTCCATGGTATGCAGGGCTGCACCTGACTCACTCTTGCCTGGCAGGCAGGTGTCCCTTCCCACATACCCAGGAGCCCTTGCCCATAGACCGGAGCATCTTACTCTTGGCACCTTGACCTTGGCTCTTTGGGCATCAACTCTGAGTCACAGAAGGTCCAGCAGAGTACAGTCAGAAATGAGTCTTTCTGAGTTAATTCTCCATCACCAGCTTTCAGAGACATGTCTGGCATCCCCAACCCCATCACTCTCTTGCTTCCCAGACTTGGTGATAGGCACAGCTGTTATGCTAAATGCCCACACTTTTCCCTTATCCTCCAAAGGAATAGTGTTGGCTAATGAACACTTCTGGCTCCAAGACAATCCATCTTCCCTAAAACACAGTGTCTTCAAAGAGCATTTCTCTTCTTTGTCCAGGTTAATGTAAAGGTATTTTTGAAATTTCTCGACTCATCATCATTTTTCACTTTGCACACTTGCTGTCTACAGACACCATGCAGGCTTTACCCTCTGCCCTTTCAATACCCAACTCCTCCCTTTTTGTGGTAAGGAAACTGAACCCCATCAGGGATAATTGACTCGCTAAGCAAGATCTGAAGGCTGGGTTTGAACCCAGGTCAGTCTGAGCCAAGTGCTGGCCCTTCCCACCTGTGGTGAATGGACAGTGGCTTTGGCCCATTAGCCATTTCTTGTCTGTGTGGTGTTAGCACTTAGGATGAAGTTAAGAGAGGCCACCCGTTGTCACCCTAAGTGATGCAGTTAGTTCCCGGTGACCGTGGGTGGTGGGAAGATCTATGCCTCTGACCATGCAGAGCTGAACCCTCTGTCTGCAGCAGAAGAGCCCCCCACATTTGTCTGTCTGTCTCTTGAGCAGATCTGAGAACCTAGTGCAGATCTGTGGCTGTTGCAGGCCTTGTTTTTGCTCTGCTTCCTAGTCGGGTCAAGTCTAATGACAGACAACCCAATGCCCCTGTGTGTGAATGCTCAGAAACTTCTATCTTCCTACAGGAGATGCTTTCTTAGAAATAAGATTTCATACTTATTCATTTTCTTTTAATAGTCATTAACCATCCACTTGTGTCAGACACTTAAAAAAAAAATGAGAGGTGTCAACCCAGAATAGGTGGCGTTTGTGTGAGCTGGTGCTCAGGATGATGTCCGTTGTCTCTGCCCAATGTGCTCCTTTTGTTACCTTTAGGACAGTGAGGCTTGCTTAGGGCAAAATGTCAGAACTTTATTGGAGTGACATCTTTGGGATCAAGGCCCTGAGTTCAGCTCATACTCACCCATCTGTTTATTCCTTGTACATCCAGAAAACACTCATCTGTGAACATGTGAGATAGTTACAGAGCAGTCAGGGTACACAGGTGAGCCAGGACAGCAATGACTGACCATCCAGTCTTCCTGGGGATGGGCCTGGAAAACTGATGGTTGTAGAGTCACTTTGGTGGCCCAGGGAGAGAGTGTGGGTAAGGCCGCTGGCTGGTCCTGTGTTGTGTTCTCTCCAACTGCACTGGTGTCTAGCTTAGAATTCCTCTCGTGGGAATCTTGGCATAAAAACACCTTAAGAAGTTTTCAATGAGCTAATAATGCTAATGCTAGTTTCGCAGCCTCAGGCCCTGTTTTGCTTTGGGATGAGATGGTGGGAGAAGCATAAAGACATTTTGTCTATTTCCTTCTTCCCTTGTACATAAAGGATGTGATGTGCACAGCTCTGAGGATGGCAGAGACGGCTGGACAGCCCAGACAGGGCATTTTCTCCGGCTCTGTATAAAAGTCAGTTCATGGTTCAACTGATGAGGAGGGGTGTTTGTAAGCTCAGAGTTTACCGGCCATTGGCCTGTTTCTCACTGAGCTACCAAGGAAGCTACCAAGGAAGGCATTGGTGCTACTGTGTGATCAGCTGTTTGGAAAAGTGAAGCCTCTTCTTGATCTGTTCCCACACGTAGGTGCACAGGAGTAGGACAGAGAGAGGCAATCCTGGTTCTTATGTCACACACTGGAAGTGTTTGTGATCTGTGAGGGCTACCCATTTTGTGTGACCATCCCCCAACCCGGAGCAGGCATAGGGGGACCTGACCAGAGATGCTCTACACTCCAGCAAGGTCTGGTCCCTCTAAAGCCATGGGAAGAGTCAGGTGCCACTGTGTAATGAGTGTGAAGTCCTTGCTCTGTGGACAGAGGATGTGAGGGAAGTGGATGAGGACAAGTCTCTCACAAACCCATTGTAAGGACTGCTCTGAGCCACCCAATCATGGAGACCATGCCTGACCCCAAGCCCTATAGGTTAACAATATGTCAAGATGGCAGGCATCTGGCCTTGTGGTAACAGAGCTCCTGTTGATGTGAGCAGAAATGCCACAAGGGTCTGAAAGGACCATTTGCCCCCTAGTGTAGAAGGTTAGACCTATGTTTGTGAATCTTATGTCTTAGTTCTAGGCCAAATGTAGTAAGTTCTTGATGGCTGAACAGGACTATTGAAACATTCACTCCTTGCTCATTTTACACATGTGGTCCCACAGATAACCTGAACTCTTGGTATAGTTACCATCCACTGTGGCCAGAGAGGCCATGAGGCCTCTTACAACATTTCTTGTCACTAAGCCCAGTTGAACTTTCTATGACCCCAAATAATCTGAGTACTGAGTGGAATGCCAGGTATCTGCTCTCTACTCCCATTGCCATCACAGCATAATAGGACATGTAAGATGACATCATACCTGCTCCACGTGTGGTTTGAAGCAGGTGATTTAATATGAGAAGGAAGGTCCAGAGGCGACTGAAGTTCTCCAAACATGTCCATTTGCTTCCTTTGCACTCGTCCTCTTTCTCCAGTGTGAAGAGGCACCCACCCTGCTATGACTGCTTACCAGAGCCCTAGCTAACCAGGAGGTGGCGCTCTTCCCGTCAGAAATGAGAGGCCACACATAGAGCTCTGTTCCCAAGGCTCCTGACTCCCTTCTGCCCCTCACTGGGGGAGTCTCTGGGGATCTCACACAGTGGAATATCCTTTGGGGACAAAGCACCTTTCATCAACTTTGCATGGCGGTACCCTGGTGGGATTCTTTTCATGGGGACAGTTAGCAAGACTCAGTATTTGGGTGCCTCTAGAAAGTATGGAAGTCATGCCCTGCCTCGTTCTCATATGGCTATTAGGTTTTTGTCAGACTGACTTTTGTGCCAGCTGTCTTCAAGACTCTCCCATAAATCAGATCCTCACTTTGAGAACTTAGGGCTCATGGTGCTCGGAGGGGCTCAAGTGCAGGCTAGCCAAAGAAGGCAGAGTCTTCCATGGGAATCAGGTCCTCAGCTGCTTCCTCACCCTCTCTGTCCCAAGAACCTGAGTGAGGCTGGGCCCTGAGGATACTTCCCTTGTCTCTTGGGTAGAGATGACATCACCAGAAATCAAGGAATATTGAGAAGGACCAAACTAGCCTGTGACTCCTTTAACATAAATCAGAATGGCAGCAGGACCTAAGCCAGGGGGTCTCACTTGGGAAACATCACAGACCCTTACATGATGGCAGTAAGTTTGGGGAAGTTTCAGACCCTCATTTCAATGCCACCTTGTGCCCGTGAGTCTTACTGTGCTGGTGGAGACTCATACCACAAGACTGCCCATCTTTAAATTCCTTGAACTGCTAATGGTGATGAGTCCCAGGGTCCTCCCTCTCCGAGAAGAGATTAGGCAGAATCTAGGTGAAGCAGGCACCTAGCAGGACCCATAGGTGCAGGGTTACAGAAACCCAGGCTGGCCAGGGAGTGTGGTGTCTCGTAGGTAATGCTGTGGGTGGTGTTGGTGAAATGTCTGTCGGACAATCGTCACATGACAGTATGACTTACTGTCTTCCCTTGTACATAGGCTGTCCGTGTTGGGTTTTTCCTAGTACTGTGAGCTTTTGAAGAGGAATTCCATGTAATACTCTGTGCTGTGACATGCTGCCCTCCCCCGAGATCACACATCACCCCCACAAATGGTTCTGCCTTTCTATACGCTAACACATTGAGCCACTGATGTGCAGTTGATGGTTAGGCTCTTGGGTTTTATTTTGCTTATATTTATGGGTTGGTTTTATATGGTTTTCTGTTTGAACCTATGAGCAACAAAGCTTCCCTTTGATTTTCATGAGAACTTTCCAAAGGCCTTTTTTCTGCTTTGCTATCTGACTGTGTTTGGGGTGGACTCTGCCCATGGATTTCTCTGTGTGTGCTGTTATTTCACCTGCAGATCTTATCCTGGAAATCCAGATGTGCTTGGCTTCCCACTGTGTGTGACCCATCTTTGTGGGATACTCGGGGCTCCTGGCTCCTGGAGAGGAAGGGGGTCCTTGTATGGAATTGTGGGTTGCAGAGGAAACTTGAACCTTTTTCACATGTAGAAAGCTGAACACGGGCATTGCTGGGTTCTGATGTGGGAGGAGAGGCCATGATACTGTCCTCTGAGCAGAGAGGGAACTGGGTGGGGCTGACACAGCTGCAAAGGCTGCTTTGCAGCAGATAAGATGGTAGCAGCCTAGATGACTGGCCCTGCAAGTGTGGAGGCCAGAGTGGGGGCAGATGTTAGGCCAGCAGCAGAGGGAAAGAGAAGGAGCCACTGCAAAAGAGGAAAGGGTGTGAGCTTGGGGTGGAGAGTGCAAGAGAGAAAGGAAGCTCCTTTGCCCTCTCCTACCTCTGTTCTAAAAAATAAGAAGAGGAACTGGAGTGATGGTTCAGTCAGTAAAGTGTTCACCATGCAAAAAACGAGGACCTGAGTTCAATTCCGAGGAAAAGAGCCCAAGAAAATGCACACACACACACACACACACACACACACACACACACACACACACACACACACACGTAACTGTAGCATTGGGAAGAAGGAGATAAATTTCTGAGACAAGCTGGACAGCCAGTCTAACTGAATGTGTAAGTTAGACTGGCTGTGTTCCAAAAACAGGTAGAAAGTGATTGAGGAATCACTGATGTCAACCTCCGAACTACACGTGTGCCCCCAACACACACACACACACACACACACACACACACACACACACACACACACACAGATATGCAGATGCACCACACCACACCAGAGGAGAGTGGGGGACACCTACCCCTTACTGAGCATCCACACACACAGGCCAGGTCTACCTGAGCATATCATGCAGAGCATCTGTAAGCCTGAGGCTGATTCTACACATAAGACCCTGGGCTCTGAAAGGGGGGACTTATGATGCCTCAGGTTTACCCCTGGTGAAGCCCAGAGGCAAACAGGAGCCTTGCTCTTCCCACTACATCTATGGTCCCAAGACCCCAGACCACACTCTACAAAAGATGCTTCAGCCCAGGCCTCTGATCCAGGCAGGTCTGTCCCACACCAACACCCAGCCAGAGTCCCATCTTCCTGTTCCCATCTGGGTATCCTGAGACTCCCCTCCACTGGGCACTCAGGCCCTCTCCTGC